CTTCAGCAATAACATTAAGGTCATAACTACTTTTTGATGAAAAATCTAAATTGTTCCTCAAAGAAACCACACCATTGTTTTGATTGATTAGGAAAGCATTATCTCCACTTAAGCGGTACCGTATGCGTGAATTTCGGCCTGGAGGATCACGGTCCACTGCGTGAATGACAAGAACGGCAGCATCAACTGGGAAATCCTCACGCACATTTGCTGAGTAACTTCCTTCTGGAAACACTGGAGCCGTATTTGCACCTGGGTTGGCTGTGTCAGCTGGGGGGTAGTCAGCAATAAGATTTATGTTTACCTTCACATTTACATTGTCGGTTCTTGTCCCATCCCTACCTCGGTCTCGAGCAATAACCTCCATGTTGACAACTGCTTGATTGGGTAGCTGACCCACCACTTTCATAACTCCTGTGATAGCATCGACAGAAAACCATGGCGAACCTCCGCTGATGTAGTAATAAATACCTCCGTTGGTACCAACATCCTTGTCGGTAGCGCGAACTCGCAATACAGATGTCATGAGAGGGGTATCCTCGTTGATAGTGGCCGAGTAGCTATCCGTGTCGAATACCGGATTGTTGTTGTTAACATCGAGGACATTTATGGTCACTTTAGTAGTTCCAAATCGTTTACCATCGAATGCACGAACGGTTAAGGTTATTTCAGGTGCGTTGACGTCCCTTACAATCTTAACATTTGTAGTTTTCAAAACAAGAAAAACGCGGCTAATGCCGCTAACCGTCCTTTTGTCCGCCTTGAAGTACCCTTTCTCGTTTCCGCCACTTATAGAATAAGTCAGGCTGCCCACCGTGTCTCTGTCTTCAGCAAAACAGTCTTCCAGACCCAACACGATAGTGTCTACTGGAGAATCTTCCTGTACTCTACCATGATACAAATTTGAAGGGAAAGTGGGACCGAAGTTGTTTGTGTCTGTTATAGAGATTCGGATGCTTAAGGGAACCCCTCCTTCCTTGTCACCTCGATCACGCCGCACAGCCACCAAGTCGTAGACGTTTTTCTTGCCGATTTCGAAGTCGATCGGTTTTGTTGTTGTCACAACCCCTTGTTCAGAAATTTGAAACAAGGTTCGAGCAGCTTTTGAATCGGCATCTTGCGCCGGAAAAAAGGTGTAAACTTCATTACTCGCTGGTGAAGGGAATGAATGCACTGGCTGCCCTGCGTCCTTGCCTTCCTCTAGATTAACTCTAAAGTCGAAGGACTGTGCGATAGCCGTATGTAATAAACAGAAGTAAAATAAAATAAAATTAACGATCACGCTGATGTCTCGCATGCTTAACTGCAATTCCTGCGTCCCGATATCGCGGACTACCTCTCTATGCTTGATTTCTTGACCCTTTCAGATGTGATTATCGATACCGAAACATTGGAGAAACCAGAATCTCCACAAGTTCCAGCAAGAATCGGTATCGTTTGTTCGCAAAAAACGAAAAACTATTTGTCAAACGACCACAAGATAGAAGTTTTTCGTTCTCGACGCCAGTGAATAATGCGGTGTTCGATGTACTAACCAATCAGAGCGGTTTGATGAAAGGGACGTCAATCATCATACCGAAATTAACAACACAGTCACGGACCAGGAATGTTAGCGGGGTATACTGAATGCCCTTCAAAGTTCGTAATTGTGGCGAGGATTCAAGCTGATTTTAAAACTTGTAATCCTGATCTATCTAAGCATGGGTTCATATGTCGAAAACAAAGCTAAGGTACCATGTAACCGCGTCAAACAATCAACAGATTTGAAGCAACTAAAGAAATTTGCTTTTCTGGTAAAGTACTCGAACAGTTACGTTGTATGCCCAACCCTACCCACTTCCGATTCAAGGCAGCCAATCAATTCACCTTTTGAGACAACTGGGAATTCATTAATGAAGGTGTTTATCATACGCAAAGAGCAGTCTTTTTACATTCCCCACATATCTCCAAGCCAAACCTCTAAATAATGTTCTGGCTTTGAGACAACTTCTGTCTTGATATCTAGAGCTGGTGAAATATCCAACTTCTTACTCTGGCACATCAACTAGCAAAACAACATTCAACACATTTTTCCCACGCCAAAACATAAGAGAGAGATTTAACGATCATAAACAAAGCTCGAACAATTGTTAAGATGGTGCTGTAAACAATAGATCGAAAACTCCGGAAACAAAGCGTTTAATTTAAGCATGAGTGATTCACAGCCTGTGCTTTGTGCCTGTCACTCGAATCACGCCCTCGCTTGAGTTCATTCGAGTAAGTCGTAACGGTAACAGTACAGATCCTCTGATGTGCCGCTGAGAACCGGAATTTTTTAAACGACTTCAGTGAAGCCTTAAATCTGCTGATGAAATAGCCACTATTACTTCTGATGTCAAAATAACGGGGGAAATATATTTACACTCAGTTTTTTGAACAGTGGAAAAACGGCTCTTTGTGCGGGTATATGGATGAGATTCACATTTCAATGTCTTTCAAGAATTTTATCGAGGAAACCGTTAGACCAGATTCAGCACTTTAATAAGCTTTTGTCACCTAGGAGCGATTTCCTTTTTCGTGCGTTCAATTCGTGCCAAATCCCATCGAATTTTAAATATTAACTAGATTTGCCCTATTCTTTTTGTTTTCCCTTTTTTCTTTACCGTTGATGTGCTTCTCTGTTACTGAGTTCTTTTTAAGAGATTTCCAATCACCCCCTCGAAAGAGAAATTTTCATTTTCTTTCGATTACTCCCTTTCTGTGGTTTCACACCAAGGCAAAGTTTAAAAATTACGGATATTATGATAGCAAGCTTACGAAACTCAATTAGATAGTACAAATTAATTTTTAATCATTTGCAAATGATGGTCACTTTTAATTTAAGAAAATAAATTGACGCGGAATGAAAAAACAAGCTTAAAACGACTGGAACTGCTATTTGACGGAACAACATGGGTGCTTTACAACCTGAAGACAAGTACAATTGTTTCCAAGGTGAAGAAACAGTCTTTTAGGTATTGCTAGCGGTGGGAAATAATCTCCCTGGCTGAGATCCAGCAAAATTGGTATTTATGAATGCAATAGTCGTCTGAGAGAAGCCTTGTCTGCATAATTATACAGCCTTTTGTAACCAGCAGGGATGGGTGGGTAGAGTGGATTAATAAGATAAAATACACTTGGACTTAACAAGCCACTGAAATGTCTTTTTTTTTTCCAACTCATCTTACAGGTTCATCGTTTTTGGGCTCACAGTGATAAGCTTAGAAATTGTAAAACGACCTTGAAAGTTGCGTGCAGCAGAAGTAATGATTACTAACTCCTCACGGTTATCAATTCACTCAGAGCGCCGAGGACAATATCAATTTTTTTCAGTGGAGTGTGGTATACCAATAAGGGTATCATATTCCGAACTGGATTAGTCCGGCACTCAAGCGATTCAATCATGGACAAGATTAGCCGCGAAAAACATTTGTACAAACCTTAAAGACACGACAAGCCGAGAGGGATTGATACAAAGCTTGAACGACAAACACTAATAACCATAGCCTTACAGCAATCAGTATCTTATGGCGAGAACGTTTTATGTTCATCATTTATGCATTGCTGCTTTTGAAAATACTTTCAGATAGTGTAAAGTATTGTCATAGTTTTTGAAGGAACGTTTTATGCTAATAAGCGCGCCGATCATATAAGAATGTGTAATATAATTTTAATTATTTCATCCTCTCGCAAGAAGGTTTTACAGACAATGAGCTCTGAAAAAGAAGAAAAACGTCTTTGTTTACAATACTTGCTATCGTAACTGAAAGGCGTCACCCCTATCAAAAATGTGCCAAATTGTTGTTGCTATCTGTCTTCTACTTCATATATATGCGTATGAAACCAGATATTTCAAACTCTGTGACACAAGTACTCACGAACTGACGCGACGAAATTCCTAAGTTATAAATAAAACGGAAATTCTAATAATAACAATGTTCGGATGCTGTCAACATGGGCTGGTGTATCGCTTAACAGTGTGTAAGAGTCTGGTAGATGGAAAAACATGATTCTAACGTTCAATTTGTGCTTCCCAAGTTTTATTTTGCTAAATAAAGTTACCAAGGAACTGAGAAAGGCAAGGAATGTTTGATGACGAAAATCTTCAGTATTTGTATCGAAATTTCGCTTAAATATTGCGTGTAATATGTAGTATTCAAATTCATTATGTTGAATGAAATTCTGAAAGCAATAAGTAAAACTTACAAGGCTAAAATATAAATAAATATACTTTTGTGCTCAGATTTGTTAATACTTTCGGTTGCAACGGAAGTTTTCGAGGCATTTCGAAGGTATTATTAAGAAATCATGAGAAAATTCCCAGCAGCTATTTCAGCTGAAAGTTGTGGTGTCCTCGCTATTTCGTGAAAAAAATTTTCTCAATGTGAAAAATAAATTCAATTCAGCGGTCTCTCACATGCCTTTTCATTTCCAGAACGTGAAAATGTTTGCCTTAATAATTCAAACTAGTTGTATTTTCAAAGCGGAAAGAGATATTTTTATCAGAGGATTTAATTATTGAGATATTTAGGAACATTCTTTGACATTGCGAAATATATCCATAAAGGGAAAAAGTTTAATAAGGAAACTGTGGTGCTGCGTCGGTGGGGGTATTTCAAGATGATTTGGTTTTATCAATTAAGTTGATAAAGTAAATTGGCCACCGCAGAGAGTCAGTCTAAAGCTGACTTTTCAAGAGTTAGCGTTTCGACAGACCTAAAATTTGGCGAATTTACGAAATACTTGTGAAAATACCAATCTTGAACATTTTTGAAAGAGTAAGTAATAGCAAAAACAATAACATAGGGCAATTGATCGATGGCTTCAAACGGTACCGGTAATTTAACTTGTTGCTCCTTTCCAAAAATTTACAAGTTTAAAAGGTAATTCTGCCTCTCTTTTTTTGTTCAAGAGTTTATTTATGTCAGCCGTCGAAGTAATCAAACGTCTCAGAATATCTGAACGCATTTCTAATCGTTGTTTTTATTTTGGCTCGTCTGCAGGATCGTCTAAATACCCGGGAACTCGCAGAAAGTCAGCGATGCCACACACATTTGAATAAACAGATATCTCTAACTTTGACGAAGGTTCTTAAAAAGTAAAAATGCTGATTGCTTAACTGTAGCATTGTGAGCGATTGAACTGACCTCATGAAATCAAGCTCATGATCTGTGAATATGTAGAGGATATTACATGGCCGCTTAGGGATACGGATTCTATCTTCTCGTGCTGAAAGTATCTCAAAACTCAGAAGACACAATTTTATTTATTTATTCCTGTGCTAATCTAATGGTGATCAAATACTCAGAAACCGTTGACAGATCTTCATAACAACCCGGTAACAGTTTATCTATGTTTACGTGTCCTTATCAAGAGAAAATTAACAGTTGATATTCTCTTGCCCTCATCTAACCTTAGTTTTCGAGTTTCTTAGACGACGGCGCATTGCGATTTAGACAATTCAACGAATTCAATATGTACAGCACACACTCAATTCGTCTAATAATGTGCAGAAAAGAAAGAGCCCTATGCTTGTGTAATTTTGTTTTCTTTCAAAAATTTACTCGTGGTTACTTAAACCAAATTGCACTTGAAATCATGTTATTACCTATTCAAATCTTAAACCTTGTCACAAGGGTTTGAAGTAATTATTCTTTGGCAGTTCCTCCTCCCCATCCGTAAGATATATGGCCAGAAAACTTCCATCTAATGAACGTTTTGGGTCACTGTCTGCATCCGGGACAACTGTGCACCTACCCCACACCTAATGCGACACCAGCCAACTGATAAAAAGTTCCAGTTAATGTTGGGTTAGGGAAGGGGTAGTTGCACATTTCCTCAGATACTAACATGAATCCAAAGTTTTCATTTTTTAACATAGTTTTTGAATATTAATTAGTCAAAGGGCAGATGACACCAATTTGAAAAAGCATCATTTATCCAGTCAGGACCCAAACTGGCTCAACTTTATTCAGATAATAAGTAAATTTGAAGCAAAAACTGAGAATGGGATATTAGAACACAAGGGAAAAGACTCTGTTACTCATCAGTGTTTTTGAGATTTAAAAATCAGACAAATATATCCAAGCATATTATTGTGCAAAAAAAAACCCTCCCCTTCCCTTGTTGTGTGAACACAGCCTGTATCTGCTACAAAGCAGCCTCCATTGTTGCAAATTAGTTCCATAACATGTCATGTGATGCATTGACACTTTAGGTAAGAGTGACATGTCAGATACCGTATTGATGCTATGTTTGATTCTTATTATATAAAAAAATTTTATATCCACAGTCACTTTCTCAAAAGTTCATTAGTTTTTTCTTCTAGGAGCAAGTCTGTTTCCCCACAAAACTGGTCTGTAAGTTGTTGAATCTGTTCAAAGAAATAGATGAGAGAAAATATGTGCTATTTCAAAATCAAAATATTCAGGCAAAAAATGGGGATTAAAAAAAACCCAGAAAATTAGGCAAAACACTTTGTAGTAAAATATATTAAAGTTCACACGGCAACCAGGTGGACAATCAGACATAGCTGATGCTACACTGGTTTGCAGATTTAATGAATGTAACCGAAGAAATTACAATTCATAGACCCAACGTTTCGACACTCCTGTCTAGTGCCTTCATCAGGAGTGATCTAAACGCTGCAACAGTCCTTTAAATCGTGACGATGGCGGTCTGCTTCCTGACGCCTATTCACACCTCGTCAGAAAAAAGGCCGCTAATTAGTGATCATATAAAAGGACCTCTTGTTGCAGCGTTTAGATCACCCCTGATGAAGGCACTAGACAGGAGTGTCGAAACGTTGGGTCTATGAATTGTAACTTCTTCAGTTACATTTATTAAATCTGCAAACCAGTGTAGCATCAACTATGTCTCACTTTGTAGTAAATTGTTCATACCATTTTCTCCACCATCCTTGCATCATCTTCTGATTTTCCTTTCTTGTTTTTCCTAATGTCAGTCATTCCTTTCTGTCTTATTTTTCGAATGCTTTGTTTGTATTGTTCACTTGTTGACTTGGCCAATTTGACCAGGTTTTCACGGTATTCCTGAGTAACTCTGTAGAGGAAAAAGGGTTACTGATTTTCTATATCCTACCATAAAAAAAAAGTGACGGAAATTCTGTGCTCAAGCTAGATGGCCCAACCAGTAAGAGCCTATTCCTATTTCTGATTCAAGAAGGGATTAGGAGTATTGCAACTCCTCTTGGATGGGATGCCAGTTCATCACAAGTTCCCCTCCCCTCCCTAAGCATTTTTTAAGCTACCCAGAAAATTGTTGGGGAGGGGGGGTTGTGAGGGCAATGGTCTCTATCTGTCCAAGCTTAACGTCAAATACATAAGTTTTTATAGAGATTCCTGTAAAAGGGAAACAATAGAGCAATTTCCATTAAAAAATAATCAAAGGAATGCTGTACAGCTAAAAAAAGCCTTACTTTGGAATGGGTATAGATATCACATGACCAGACATGGTGGGCTCAAAATTTGTATTCCATGTTTTAATTGCTTCAGCAGCTTGAGGCACAAGCTAAATGAGAAATATCAATTGTAAATACCATATTAATCATGAAAAAGCATTGTGGTGTTCCATCATACATTTTTTTTAATATTCCAATTGATGGTCTAAAAAACACAAACAAATAAACATAAACATCTTAGGAGGTTTCTTAAGAGAGTCCTTGTCTAAACTAGCTTTAGACTCTGGAACCTAATTATTGATTTGCGGTCTATCATAACCAACATTTAAACTTGAATGCACATTATCAAACATATGCATGTAGCCTATTCAAAGTGTGTAGTTAGTAAAACAGAGCATGATAGTAGCAATGGAGCAAGAAAAGGAGGAGGTATCAGTAGTTCATTACACAATCACACCCAAACCTACCCCCTTTTCTCACAACACTGTTACTACCTCACCTTTTAAGCATATTCTCCATGCTGTTCTCTATACATTTCCTAAGGTGTTGACAAGGAGAATTTATTGAATAATCAAGAGCTTCTTTATTTGGTGATCATATCCTTTATTCTCATGACCTTAATGTTTTTTTCAGAGGTGATATTGTAAGGGGAATTTAGATGCTAGTCACTCTTAGGGATCAAGGGGTTAACTGAATGCCTGAAATGGGCCATTAAACAAAAGGAACTTAACAAGTGAGGAATCAGGTCACACATATGTATGATGGAATTTTCATTTTCATGATCTTTGACATTTTGCCAAAAAATTTTACAATTACATAAAACTGGAGCAGTGTTAATCCACCACATTGCTGACCTTACATGTTTTTACCACATTCCACTAAGACTGTTGCAATCCATTATATTACTTAGATTCTGAAAGAAGGAAGACCCCTGCTGACAAGCTACCCATGGCTGAAGAGGGGCGGGGAGGAAAGAAGGGGAGAAACTTTATATTTTTAAAGTGTAGTAATAGCGCAATTCAAATTGCTGAAGTGGAAATTTCTCTCTCAAGACCAATGACTGGAATTCTATAGCATGTAACCTTCTAATGATAGTAATGGGATTGCCCTTTCTTCCTCATAGCAAGGTTTCTAGACACTGACCATTTGTGGATGAAAAAATAAAGTACTAGTTAGACCTGTACATATTTTACCTACCTCTGGTAAGCTACTTAAGTCCACCACGAACATGCTGTTATTAAGTTTGATTTGTGCAACTTCACCAAGCAAAAACTTTTCTTTTCCATTTGCCGATTCCACTTTTAACTTGTGAAGTACATCTGCCAAAAGAGTGAAACTCTAGCACATTACTTCAACATAAAATTTATTTCCAGAGCATTAGTTGACTCAACAGTGGTGTTGCTCCTGAGCAGGAATAGGACTCTTACCTACCACATAATATCTGGCAGGTATACAAGAATGCTAGGTTGAAAATTAAATGGGTTTGGCAGAGCAAGATTGACAGATAAATATCAGTAATACTGCCTCATAATTTGTTTCTTTCGATTATTCCTTGCAGCTTGTAATCAAAAGGTGTAATGCGGTGCTTCCCAATATTATGCCTTTAACTCCATAGATCTGATTGTTAAGTCTACCCTCCAGCTGCTACCTATTTCCTTGCAAATTAGTCATGAGAATTTGGTGTTAGATCAAGATAACAACTTCTGCATGTACCTGGTGTTCTCATAACCTGATTCCTGGATAATGTATGGACATCATGGAAAAAAGTTAAATGTTAAGTACCTCTAGGAGTTCAAGGATTTAAGATTGAAAATAATATATAGATTTAGCCAAGCCTAAAAGTGGAGCTCGCATTTTTTTTCTCACACATCTCAAGGGCACAACGCCTTGCCCCACCCAGGACTAGAACCCGGGTCATCCAACTCGGAGCCCAGTGCACTGACCACTGGACTACTGGACAAAGCCGTGGCGTTGGCGTGCCCGTGGTACAGTTGACCACGCATGTTAAAAGTAGCATCTTGTTCAGTCGGTCATACGGTCATACGGTCGTGTGGTCATAAGTCCAAATTATTTTGGCTTGATAGGGTACTACTACCATTTTTTATAATTATGCGCTACACTCTGCGAGCTCCACTATTACTTGTCATTCATAATGAATTTGTACATGTAGATATATTGGAGAGGAGTCTGAGACAATTGAGCTTAGACTTACCAGGTTTGACTTTGACAGTTATTTTGTCTTTAAACTCAAGTTGAAGTCTTGTCACTGTACTTGTCATGTTTGATTTTAATTTTTCCAAATCAACTAACCCATCTGCTAAATCATGGTCTAATGAAACAGCAGCTGACTTAGCCTTTTTTCCTGTGGAGAAATATCAATGATAATATTTCTGCATGTTAGTTATAAGCTCATTACATTAGCTGAGCATGAGTGCTGACTAGCTGTAACAGTGAAATCAGGTAAATCTGGGTGTTTGAAAAGATCAGGTTGAGTCAGAATGAAGAGTCAGCTACATATACCTTGTACTAACAAAGTTTGAAGTCTGCACAGTAAGTTACAGACCAAGTTTTGTTTTCCACTCAGATTTATGGCCCAAGCACAAAGCAAGCAGGCCATAAATCCAAGTGAAAAAAAAACAGCTTCCATAACTTACAAAAGGGGCAAAGAAAACAAGGTTAGTAAGGTATTTATTCTATCTGTGGGAGCAAATAGAGGGAAGATTTCAATTCAGAGAAACTTTTAATTCATGTGGGCCATACAGTGGAATTTAGCTTGCTGAATTGACCAATCATAGCACACATACTAATTGAGAGATAAAATAATAATAACTAGCTATAACAACTACATTTTCCAAGCCAAGAACCACAGTAGTTAATTCTGCCTGGCAGCCAGAGAATTCTCCAATCTCCGTCACCTCCTGAACCCCTTGGGTAAAGGTAAGGTAAAGTCTACACCCAAGCCAAGAGGTCCATCCAACTCAAGCTTATCCTGGTTCCCATAGAATGAAGAAACTAAAAGCACTATTACTTTCCCCCCCCCCCCACCCCGCCTCTCTCTGGATAGAAAGGCAGTCCACTGCAAAGCTACCCCTGCCATTTCATCAGACTTCCCTGACAATTCACCAATACCCATTTCTACTCCTAGTGGAGAGGAGCATTTTGAGAGTAAAGTGTTTTGCCCAAGAACACAACACAATGACCCAGCCAGGTCTGAAATCCAACCCACCCAACCCAGAGTCTAGTGTACCAACCATTGGGCCACTGCATACCACTTGGACACATGTATATAGCCATCAGTGATTGGCTGAGATACTTCTTTCTGTCACACTGAAAACTAAAAAAGGAGGTGTGACTCATTGGGACTCAATCCACTATCCGGCCTGGTTATGCTGTGCACAGAAACATCTTCATTTTCCTAGCTTCCTGTAGACTCTTACACTTCCTTGAGGACTGGAGAGGTAAAAATTCATTTTGACAAGTTCATTTTATTCTGTACACGTGACAGCCACTGAAGTTATATGGGCTCTGGTATTGGCCCTTACCTTTCTTCGCAGCATAAGATCGAACCAAGGTAATCCTTAAATAAGTTGTCCTAGTCGCACACCCGCCCAACGTCGCTGAAAATCGGGATGCAATCGAGCAATTCATTTTAAGAAATCTGAATATACTCTCTACTGAACGGTGTAGTTTGATGACTCGATTGCGTAAAGGTCAGCTGTCGTCTTGAGTGTCGTGTATGATTACACAATGTAACGCTTTATCACATCAGGCCAGAACATCACCCCATCTAGCGGCCATAACTTGGAAGATGATGGGAGGAGTGAAATAATATATATTTTTTCAGTTATTTTGGGAGTAAAATGTACCGGTATTAAAATGGTCATATCTCAGGATGCTACAGATGAACCCAATCAAGGGTTTACTGACTTTTCTGAACTGAAGAACGGAGTAGGAAGATCACCAGCTTCAATAAAAGCGATTAATGCGAAGACTTTGGCTGAGGGCTATACTAAAGGTTTGTTTATTGCATAACAGTTTTCCGTTAGGTAGTTGTCAGATAGCCTCAGGCTTCGATTTACTCAAACCTTCATCTTTTGGGAGCCTTTGTAGAAGTTACTCTTGATTTTAGTGCTGTTCAAACTTGGGATTTCGTTAAGTAATGTGCTGTATGTTAAAACATCTCACAACAAGGATTAATGAACGGTCCTCAATGATGTATAGTCTAGTGATTTGAATCAAGTGTGATCCAGTTGTCAGGTAGCTCACAGGCTTCGATTAACTCGAAGCTTCATCTACAACGAGCCTCACTAAAAGTGACTCTTGTTTTTACAGCTGATTAAGCTTCGCTTGTACTGTACATGCATATGTACCGTTCAATATCTTAGAACAAAATTCAGCGAACTGTACTGTCACTTACTAACAGTGAGCATAAGTCAGTTTTACTTCAACTTCCTCCGTGATACAAAACCTAGCTATGCAAGTCAAGTATGATCAAGTTGTCATACAGTTTACAGGCTTCGATAATCATTGCGTCGAATTCATCTATTAGTAGCCTTGGTTAAAGTTACCCTTCTTTTACAGCTGTTTAAGCTTTGCAATTTCCTTGTGATGTCCTGTACATGCATGTGTACATAACTGTTCAACATCCCACAAAATGAATCAGTGAACTGTCACTAATTCAGAGTGAGCAAAAGCTGTTATATTCTTACTTCCCCCATGATATAAAGCCTACTGATGTGAATGAAGTATGGTCAAGTTAGTGACGGTTTTATTTCAAAGTTCCTATGCAATCCATAAGGTTTCCCTGGTGAAGACTCATTTGAAGCTTTTTTTTTTGGGTGGAAAATCTGTCTAATGAGGCTAAATGTAATTTTGGCAAAGGTTAAAATGAATTCATTTCAGTAGTTTCTCTAATAAGTGTGTGAGATTTGTGCATTTGCTTACTTACTACTCCTTTGCTTTGCTTGTTTTGTCTCCATCCATTACATTTCTCCCATTCCCTCCCATCCCTGCTCCTCCTTTAACCCTTTCACTTCCAAGATCTCATTGGTAAATCTCCTTGCTGCCTCTCACACAATTCTTATGAAGTTAGTAGGGAGAATTTGGTATTGGATCAACTAATAATTCCCTAGTGATATTTTTCTTTATTCTCATCATGTGTCTGCTTGACATTGTTGCAGTAATTCATGGAGTTAAAGGGTTAAATTTAATATATGTTGAAGCTGGAGAAGTAACACCTTCAAGGATACTATTGGTTTTTTAAATCTACCTTGTTAACAATCTCAATGAATTCTTGAACACATTAAAATTTTAGCTAAAGGGGATTCACCTGTGAGAACATCAGATTCATATAACCCAGCTAGGAAATAGAGTTACCAATCAGTCCTTGTTTGTTATAGAGGTTTAAGTTTACAAGGCCCAGTTAACTGTTAAATGTGTGGCTGTCAAAACTATTTAGCCATTATCATGCTTCTTTTAAATAAATTGATGACAATTACCCTTTGACCCCTAAGAGTGACTGGTATCTAATTTCTCCTTTCAAAATCACCCCCAAATCAAACATAAACTTCAAAAGAATCAAGAAAATGATCATAAACAAATAAACTATTGATTGTTTAACAAATTCTCCTTGTCAGCGCCTCAGGAAATGTATAGAGAACAGTATGGGGAATATGCTCACTGATTTTAGGGTGTCAAGGGTTGGAGAAGATTGCCTCTCAAGTTAAATGAAATGTTTATTGAGAAAAATTAATAGCAGCTTAACCTTAAACTCCCAAGATCCCTGTAAATTAGTTACAAGAATTTGATATTAGATCAAGATAACAGAATTACCTGATAAGTTTGAGTATTCTCATTACTTGATGCTAGATGTTGTATGGATGTTATGGGGAGAAGTTACATATAAGTCAACTCTGGGAGTGAAAGGGTTGAAAAGTCATGATGAGAAAAAGCAATTTAACCCTTTAACTCCCAGATCAAATTTGTAATTCTCCTTACTGTCAACCATACAATTCTTATAATGTTAGTTCAGAGAATTTAGTATTGGATCAACTAATTATCCACAAATTGATATTTTTTCTTTATTCTCATCACTAGTCTGGTTGATATTATATTGATATTGTAAGGAGAAATTCTGTCTTGGTCACTCATGGGAGTTAAAGGGTCTTAATGACATGTCCAATATGTCTCTTCATATATATCAGAACAGCTGGAAAATTTTCTTCTGGTGTAAGGAAATATTTTATATTTTATTTTAATAGTGTTTCTGTGCTCTGAATTTCAGGGAAAAGACGCTTGGAGACCTTTAGTGTAGTATCATGTGCCATTTTTTCCAGCATAGTTCTTTTCTACTTGTGTAAGAATTTCCAACTCTCTGAAATCAGAACAGTTGTGTTTGCTGCAGGTGAGTGGCTTGAATTGTAGCACTCTACCAGTCATGTTTGTTATTGAGTAGGTGATTATCATGAGGTGTAGCTGGCATCTTTTGGACAAGGTCCATACATTTAGTGCACTACAAAAGTTCAAAGTGTCTACGAGTAGTTTTTGCAGCAACTAAGCAATCCAATTTAAGATCTGCAGTTTTGGCTCCAAGTCTGGCCTGTTGACTGTTCCTTTTTGAGGTTTGGGGGAATCTTCCAATGGACCTTCCTCTTGCCCTTCTTATTGATACATTGAACCATCATTCAACGTAGATAAAGAAGTGAATTAGGTTTCAATGGTTTAGAAAACACCCCTATTACCAAGAAGGCATCCATTTATTCTCCAAATAAACATATCCCTGATATTTAACTATTTTCCTTATTCACCAAAGTCAAGGTGAATATTGATAGATATTTACTGAGCTGCAAAGTAATGTGGTCAAGTATACACAACTTTCAATGTCACTGAGAGTAATAATTGTCTTAGTACATACCACACAGAATTAAAATAAAATTATTTCTGTTAATATACCAAGTAACGGTTAGGATGTTCAGGGTTAATAATGATTTCATTAAAAAGTAAAATTTATTGATTTATGTGTCCTAACAAAGAATCTATGATATGAATGAAATTGACCTTCATTTTATCAGATCAAAGTGAAAATAACATCATTCCACTATGTTTGTTTTTTTAATTATTCCATATTGACTCTAGTATTAAAATAGATCAGTATTTTTCAATAACAATGTTTGTTTTCATGCCTTTTTAGTTATGGAGGCAATTACCTCAGTAGTTGCCGCGATCAGATGACATGATGACATCAATGCCAATGTTTGTCTTTTTGCCTTTGTAGTTGCAGGAGCAGTCACTGCAGACTTCCTCTCTGGGCTGGTTCATTGGGGGGCAGACACATGGGGAGCAGTAGACATCCCTATTTTTGGCAAAGCCTTCATCCGTCCTTTCCGAGAACATCATGTGGACCCCACAGCCATAACAAGACATGATTTGATTGAAACAAATGGTGACAATTGTCTGTTGACCTTACCTGGTTTATCTTACATGGTCTACAAGTTTCTCATTTATGACCAAGAAACAATTGAAGCATCCTATGGAACAGACTGTTTTGTGTTCTTCTTGGCTGTGTATGTTACCTTAACCAACCAAATCCACAAGTGGTCACACACCTACTTTGGTTTGCCAATGTGGGTACAAAAACTTCAGGACTGGCATATTATCTTACCACGCAAGCATCATCGCATTCACCATGTTTCTCCCCATGAGACATACTTCTGCATCACAACTGGTTGGCTTGACTATCCTCTTGAGGTGATCAGATTCTGGCGATCCTTAGAGTGGTTGATTGAGAAAACAACAGGGGTGAAGCCGCGATCAGATGACATGAAATGGGCAGGGAAACCCAATTGAATTTGATCAAATTGTGGTCTAAAACTGATCTAAAAAGTGTGAAATTATGTTTTGTGGGTGAGTGTAGGGTAGGTAATATACCAAGGTGGGTCTGGTCTACCCACATAGACTCTAGTAATGCACTTATAATTTTACATTGTCCTGTTTCTGTTTTAATTAAAATTATAGCAGAAACTATCCAAATCTTTATTTCTGCCTGCACTTGATCCCATTTGTCAAGATCAGTAATCTTTCAGAATAGAGAAACAGATAAGCAAACTCCAACAGAGACAGACAGACCAAAGCAAATTGAGATTAACTGTGATTTTTTTTTTCAAATTTAAGTTAAAGGATATTAGCCACACAGAAATGCAGATTTAAAGTAATATTGCGCAGTGGGAGAAAAGATACTTGTCTGAACATTTTTCATACATGGAACAACTGCTGGGAAAAATCTTACCAGAAACACAAGTTAGGATCATTACCTTATTGGTTAAATTGTGTCAGGTCTTATTTCAAACATTTGAATGAAGTGTTGTTATGCATGTATGTACTTATGACTTAAGCGCTCAGGAGTTCTTTTATTGGTTGTGCCATGCTTGTACACCTCAGTTACATTAGGCCTTCATTAGATTTTTTTGGTGTGTTAATCTTCCTCTCCAAAATGGCCTTGACAAGTACCTCTTACTATTTGTCAAGAGTGGTCACTAACTGGGTAACCTGCTTAAAGGTGTGGAATAATTATTTATCCAAGGCAGGGAGATGTAATGACTTTTATGTAAAATGAATGATCTAATAAGGAAAATTATAGGTCAAGAGAAATTCTACAGCAAAAAAATTTTTTTTCTGTGAATTCTGTAATTTTAAAACT